ATTAGGTGTCCTGGTTTGGATTCTCACTCACAAGGTCATGGATGCGCACTGGTAATGAGTTCTATACCAAAACTTAACTGCTGTTCAATGCTTCCAGGTTTTGAATAGTGATCAAAAACTAATTTCACCACGATTCAACGATTTTCGCAACCCTATTCTGACCACCATGGTTTACAGAAAGCTTACCTAAAGCTTTGAAATTCTAATGAGTGAAAGTAAGCTACAATCATTACTTAGCATTCAAACATGTTCTGTTAGTATGTATTCAAATTAAAGCATTTTATGACAATAACATTTACATCTTTTCAGTTTTCACTTTTATAATCTGATGACATTATAAATTTTATTCACATGGCTTCCATCTGGATTTTTAATTTAGTTTTTATAAAAAAATAGTCTGAAATCTTTAAAGTATTGATGGACAAATATTTATGTAAGCTGATTGCTTTGAAGTTCGAAATTTTTATTACTTATGTAAGCTATGGCGATAATTGTTTTTCAGATTGTTTACACAGCGGTATAAATATTTTTACAACTAGAATGCATGGAATATTCAAATTTAAGAATGATCTGAATAAAATGTGCATTCAGATTTTAAAGGCGATTATGGTGTTTAGATTATCAGGTGACGAATACCATAGTTAAAATGTCCACATACATATCTAGAAAACAAATGAAAATATATTACTGACGGAATAAAGTGTAAATATTCGTTGAGTAAACCGAATAATTATGTAAAGCAGAATGTTAGAATGTATTGCACGATGATGAAAACTTATGAAAATAAAATATGGAAGAAGTGCTTAGTTAATGAGACTGATTATGTAAGACATCGCATAGATCAACTGAAAGTGAAATTTATATTTCTCTAGTTAAAGGTAATTCTTTAGTAGATGACCAGAGTAGAGGAAATGTATGCACACGTTTTTCGAACTACAAATATGTCAGTTTTCATGTTTGCTGCTTTTGCTCAAAATACAGAATTGATTAATTGGCATTTCACAAATAAATGTTTAATCTCTATATGAGCGTGGTGTAAAAATGTCAATTAGGTCTAAATAGACGAAGGGTCTTCATGTTATTTTAGTTCTAATCACTTACTAATCAATTTTTCTGGTCATAGATCAACTGCAATTAGCACTTTAAAAAACAAAACAACAATTTCAATACAGTTTTCTTTCAAACCGTTGAAAATCAGACTTTAATTATTTGCATGATATATATGTTACAAAGAAGCGCTAACCACTCCATCAAACAGCACGTAATAACATTCTAGTAACTAATACTCATTTCGTTTAGATTAGAATACCTCATTATTCTATTATTATGCTTGAAAAAAACGATTTCAAAGCAGTTGAACAAAGAGAACATAACTAATAGGTCGTTAGAATTTAACGAAAAAATTCTGCCTGATGGATTTCAAACCTAAACTATCAGTTTCAAATAACGATGGAAACTTTAATACAGTCATTAAGACAGTTAAATATTTCATACTAATAGAATTCATGTTCAGTAGACAACTAAAATTCGCATAATATACCATGTGAAACTAGTGTCTATTTTTGAAATGTTTCACACCCAAATACATATGATTTGCTTTCAGTGAAATCATGAACCACTCGATGTTAGACCACCGTTAGAAATCTGAAAGCACTGGATGACAGTTTTTATTTTAGCATCAAATTCATTAGCAGTACGCATCCATGACCACACACACAGGAATCGAAGCCACGACCTCGGATCCCTAGCATGAACACTTAATCTCTATTTAAAATGCAACTTTATTCATTAGACATTTTAAACCCGTTAGTTACTGATAAATAAATCAATAAAAATTAATGACTACTTATTACACAAAGTGTATTGTGTGTCACTAAAAAAAAAGAATTTTTTTATGTAAATAAGAAAAACATTTATGGCATTTCTATAAATAAATATTATACCAACAAGTTTTAACTAACTGTAACCTTTTAACGTTGTAGCATGATTTATTCTAAGTAATTTTGTTTTCATTTCCACAATAAAAATTGTTTTTATTGAACATTTAATAATGTTATCATACTTTTACTGACTAATATTTAAACATTTTTGTGGATGAACAATCATCCAAATCTCACCTGTTACAACTTAATCAGTAAACAGACAACGTTAGCTAACTTTTCAACAACACTCATCAATGTTTTTTGATAAATGAATAGTACATATGTAAGGCGTATATTTATTAATATTTTATTCACAATCAGACATCGTTAAAAAGTTTGAAAAGCAAGAAATAACTACGCATTTATGAAGTTAAACTCATAACATCTAATATACTTGGTGTACTTTATACTCTCATACATCAAGTAAAAAGATGATTGCTTAAGAATGCAGTTTTATACTTGTGTGTAGAAAGCAAGTATAGTTTACTGCTTCACAACTGGATTTGTGAAGGAATTATGGGTAAATGTGTGTTGACCTTGAACTTTGATTTATATGTACATCTTATTATTTGCTAAATGTTTGTCTTAATTATTTTCGTTAAACACTAGAAGGTTTTCTAGTTTATGTTTGTTTGTTATACACCAACACCTTCTAAACACAAAAATTATCAGAATTATAAATCAAACTGTAAATATCATTACTTAAAATATTATTTGATAATTCTCAGGAACACATAAATGCATTGAAAGTGTGGATTACACACTTTTAACTTTGACGAGATTATCACTAATCAGAGTTATTTGTACTAACCGAGTATCTGATTGGACCAACCAGTTTAACTTTCGAAACTTATATAAGCTTGTAAAAGCTGCGTATTAATTGAGGAATCGGTATACAATTATTCATAATGCTTCAAAAAATCGTTCTGACGTTCACAATAATTCAATTTGTTTATTTAAAACATCAACATTAGTACAAGAGATAACTAAATCTATTTACGCTACGTAACAAAAACATGGTTGTTAAAAGAGAGAAAAGAACAATGGTCATCTAATACCTCAAACTTGGACAGACCAGCTTTCACAAACACAGAGCAAAACTGCTCTCACAGACACATTGTAGACCCGAACTTTCAAAGCCTGCTTAACATCACAAAAGCGCCAAAGATATCTCTGACTGACAAACGTCACTTTGACTTACACTATACATGCATCTGTTCCGTCACTCACGCCATACCTATAGGCACTGCCAACTAATTAAGTGAGGATTGCATCACTTGGTTATCATAGTATCAGTCAATCAGTCAGTTACAACGTAGAACTTCGTACATACGTTCATCAGTTCAGGTTCCCATACCACACTAACACAGAGAAGCAATTGTCAATTCAGATGTAGTAGAAGTATCAGCAGTAATCGGAGAGATTAGGGTTCGAACATGTTATTCAAAAAGTATAATTCAGTGAAATAAACTTAAAAAGAGAGAGATAAAGGAGAAGATAAATCTAAGACATTAAGATTTGCGAGGACACGATGAAAAAATGCACCTGTGCAATTGCAAACGATTTTGAACCATGTGATTCAAGATCTCTAACCATCGGTTTCTGTCGTCTCGCAGACCCAAACCAGGTAGACTACATCTACCTACTCCTACACCATAAAACATAGCTCGTCGAGTTAGTCGGTAGTTGGGCATACGTAACACATTTCCCAACCAACTCAACTGATGGAATTTCAATACATTATCTATTGATCTGCCATCCTTATCTAGTACCCATTTTCTAGTTATCATCGCATAGTAAACTAGTATAATCTGCATACCTGTCATCAAAAATCTTTCTCCAGACAACAGATTCAAACAACCGCCTACATCTGTTATCAATCTATCCAGAACGTTGTTGATTGAAAGTGAAAGAGTAATGATAAAATTGGATAACTCAGCCTAACCTCCTGCTTGAACGAAACAATAAGGAGAGCTGGCCGAATGCCTTTGGTGTTTGTACGTAGGGCCTTCAATACGCTAATAAAGTTCGCATGTATACTCTTCTTCAATAAATGATCTAACTGAAAAGTTATGTCCAGCTATTTGAAGGTGGCTCGGATGTCACAAAATATAATGATTGTTGGCCTTTGATAATTGAGGTGGTTTTCTGACGATTGGCATTGGGTGGATATACAATCAGTACATACTCGACCAGAAGGAAAACTCAGCCTGCTTCCGATCAGTCAATCGTTTCCAGGTTTTAAACAATCTACAAAGAATGATGGAAGCTAATTATAATTTCGTAGCAGACTTATCTACAGAGCGTTGTTACATAGGTGTTATGAGCCCTTTCTAAAGATAGGGGCAACTATCAATCTATTCCAAGCTTTTATGACACTTTCTGGTCTCCAAACTGTTGTAAACAACTCAGTGAATCTTATAGTCAATTATCTTGAAAACGTTGTCTGAGCCTAGTGAATTTTAGTACCTCAAAAGCTGTAGTTCCTTGTGGACTCCTGCCTCGTTAGACAGATCAGTCTTCACGTACCATGAAGAATCGGACAGTCTGTTCTGTGCTGCCGGGGCAGAAAACCAGCTAAACAATTCTTCGAAGAACACAGTCCATGTTCAAAGCGACAGTAGTTGTTATTGACTGACATTCTATCAGCTTCGCATACTGCATCGCTCAGGAAAGTTGAGAGGGCTTCCGGCAGTTGCCAGATGCAAGTGCTGTCTTCATATGTACATAAACGTTAATGGCATGATCTCACATAGAAGAGCTACAATCATAAAGGAAGACGTTTTACAGTATTTCCTTCATCTTTTATTAGGTTTCCAGCTGATGCTACTTTGTGACAAAAACCATATTATATACAGAAACATACAAAGAAAGAACTGATATTAAAACTAATAGACACGGAGGTTTGTTGGAATAATTTTTATTAATTTTTAATAAAGAAAGCATAACATGATTAATAATAATAATAATTCAAGTAATAATGAACCAATATTTTGTGAAATGAGAAATATATTTACCTCTATTAATCCTCTAATCGAAAAGCATATTATTTTGTCTATTTTCTTATCTTCAAATTAGGTTTTCATTGTGTAATTTCACTTACCTCATTTGCGCTTGTCCACCGATATGGATTATTGAACTGCATCATATGGATCAAGTAAATAATGCATCTGACCTACTAGAATTGATTGCAACGAAAAATCACACCCCAGTTGTCACAGTTCCAGCATGGATAAACAAAGTACCACCAATAATGTCACGTGAAAATGTATGTAACAACTCCACATCATTTTTATTTGTTTCGTTTATTAGTGTTGATGAATCAAACACAAAATCAGTTTAAGAACCTTAATTTATTGATTTTGCAGACTAAAACTCAACAAAATAGCATAGGATTAATTTATACAATTTTCTAGTGCACTTTTTTCTCAATTAAATGGCTTGCTAAAAATTATTAGATGGTTAATGTTAAAAAATATAATGAATGCCTCGGGCTATAGATTTATTCTTAGGTGATAAGAATGAAACTAAGAATTTCACAATAACAGATCAGTTATTACAATACAAATGTCAAGACAGTTCTACTGTATGGAGCTGAAACTTGGAGAACTACCAAAGCCATCATCTAGAAGATACAAGTATTTATGAACAGTTGTCTACGCAAAATACTTCGGATTCGTTGACCAGACACCATCAGCAACAACGAACTGTGAATGAAAACAAACCAGATTCCAATGGAGGAGGAAATCAGGAAGAAGCGGTGGAAGTGGATAGGACACACATTGCGGAAAGCAACTAACTGCGTCACGAGACAAGCGCTCACATGGAACCCTCAAGGCAAAAGGAAAAGAGGAAGGCCAAGGAACACATCACGCCGAGAAATAAAGAAAGATATGAGAGGAATGAACAAACAATGGACAGAACTGGAGAGGGAAGCCCAGGACAGAGTTGGTTGGAGAAAACTAGTCGGCGGCCTATGATCCATTGGGGAAAACAGGCGCAAGTAGTAAGTAAGATCAGTTATTAACTCTGTAGTGTAAAGAAAACCGATTAGGAGATGATATAAATTGATTAAAATGTAGGTATTTTAGTAATGTTTGCGTTTCATACATGTTCAATCAAAAGAGACTTACTTATGCGCGTTATGTAAGTGATAAGTCAACAATAATATTAGATTGGAGATCCGCGAAAAATCTGTTCAACTCAACGTTTGTTTTGAATAGATGTTTTAGATGATTATGAAACTGTCCAGTAGCAAACTGTTACGCTCGTCTCTAGGTATGCTTAAACTATTACGACTTCACCTTAGTCGAATAACGAGAACAAAACAATGAACCAGCGTCCAGGTTGGCTACTGTGATCCCTTGACCAAACTGTATCAGCGAGAAGTCTTGATATGGCGTAGAAATTGTATTTTACAAACATCCACCAGCACACAATGAAACAAAGCATTCAAATTGCGTTTATTTATACTCTATAGAGACGTCCTTAGGACTGTCACAAAAATAGAAAACTAAAATAGCACACTAAATAGCACACAGTAACCAGTCACAGCCAAGGATTTTCCTGGTGGGAAATGAAACCTCAAGGTCAACTGGCCGGTCCATGAAATAAATTCAAAAATAAAATTATTTTACAAGCGAGTTCTGGGGATCTAACATCCCCAACACTCCTCCCCTTTTTAACAGTGTACGCTCCTGGGGTGTACTTGAATCTTGAATGTTGTTCGCCACTGCCTTAGAGGATACCTACGGGAACGGAGATCAGCTTGTGACTGAGTTTCTTCTCATGGGAGGCTGCTTGTAAGTTGAAAGTATCAAACAGGATGTCGAGGGGAGGATTTTCTGCTCTTGATGGACGATCTAGGGCTACCCGTTTGCGTATCTGGTTTCTGTGACGTGACCACCTTTCGCCTCCGACCTCTAGTTCGTACATAACTCTCCCAACTCTTCTGATCATTCGCACTTTTACCCAGGGACCACGATTTGTTCTGTAGTCGCGCGCGAACACAGGGAATCCCACTAGGTAATAGGATTGCCTTTTCTGCTTTGTCTCTACTGATGTTGGTGCATTAATCGGATGCATCAGGTTGTGGTTCGTTTTCAGTCTTCTTCCCATCAGGATTTCTGCTGGGGACTTTTGCTCCAGTAACAACTCATTTGGTGTTATTCGATAGACGTACAAGAAATTTTTTAACGCGTCGGCTGGAGTCCACTCCCGTTTTGGCTTAACCAATGCTCTTTTAAACGTATCCACAAACCTTTTCGCTTACCCATTCGATTGCGGGTGGTTTGGTGGCGAGCGTAACTGCTTAATGGCTAGCCGTGGCAGAAAGTTTGGAATTGTGTGGAGGTAAGTTGAGACCCATCGTCAGATACGATCATATCTAGTATGCCATTTCGAGAGGAAATTTCGGTGAGTAGCTGTATTGTCTTATTTGTTGTGGGCGGTATTTCGAAACTGTCCATTAGCGAACCTTGACGATTTCACATAGAATCAAATGTTTATATGTATTTTTTTTAAATCAAGAAAATTAATTCATATGTTACATAGATGGACTTTGTATGATTACTGAAAGTGATTTTAATAAGTGCAGTGATTCATTCGAAATTTTTACAATGAAAACAATTTTTTAACTAAAAATTAGTAAGGCATTAGAACTGACTTCATCAAATGCTTTTAACTGGTCAATAACTTGTAAACACAAATTCACTTAATCGTGTCGTTTTAAAAATAATTATGTTCATAAGAAAATTTGAAATTCAGACAAAAATAAGCATAATATAATCTACAAAAAAAAGGAGAACGCTTTTCAGAAACTGAGGAAAATTGTGAACAGTTGTTTTAGGCGTCTGATTAAGATTTATATGCTTTTTTGAGAGAGAAAAAAATTCACTACTTTTACTATTGAATATGATGTAAATTAAAGAAATTGACATCTATTTAAACCGATTTGTTGTTGCATGGATTATTTGTGGAACTTTTTCGCGAGATACAGGATAGTTGCAAACTGAAAAACTACAAAATCAGTTTTTCGACATTATTGAATAAAGCAAAGCAATTTATCATGTATTATTGTTGAAGGTTAAAGGAGTATTTTTAGTCAATGATAATTAATTACATTTAAAACAACAGAGGAAAATAGGTCATCGTTAAATAGGACAAAATTGCTAAAATGATCTGTATCTACATCATTCAGCTGATAGATGAAGAAAATGTCAGACGTTTCAAGGTTATTTGGAAGAATTTTAAAAATATGCATATTTTGAATAAATATTAAATTGGTCATTTTCACTGAAATCAGATGATTTGTCTTTTGATTTATTCTGTGTAAAAATCTTTACTTGCACCAATTACAATCAGCAAAAACCTTGAAATATTCCAATTTAAATGACTATTTTTATTGGAAATTCGAATGCATATATAATATATATATATATATATATATATATATTTGAGGAAACGTAGTGTGGTGGCCAATTTCAACGTGTTCTCAATCTTCGTAATCCCGTCGTCTACGCAATCAGCACCAATTCACGCCTGACGATTATAAATCAGAAGGCAAATACCAAGTGTTGATTTCGTTTATTCTAGTACACCACAAAAATATGACAGTGGACCACAAGCAGACAGGGCAGACACACTAGTGAACAAATGTGCGAACGAATTGATGAAGCGAATGGGGGAAGGCTAGTGAGCCAACTCCAAGAGATAAAGCATGACTAAGAGTTTATAGTCAGACAAAAATTAAGACAGACATGTAGTAAGCGAAATAGGCATGCACATACTACATTAGCAAATGAGAGATTACTTAACGTTTAAATAAGAAAGCTCACTAATTATTTTGACTGAATTAAAACAATACGATCAATAAATGTCTTACAGGTTAACTTGATAAGATTTCAGTTATCATGCCAACTTCACTATTTTTAAATTTAATTAGAAATACTTTGACCACAAATTAAACTACAGTCACATACGCTGTTGTTTATAGTACAGCTTACATGAAAGTAGATAGTCTCAATTGACATAGTTCAAATTTAAAGACTGTAATAATGAATTATAAATCTGAATAATTGACTCATCACCTTTAGTGAATGAAGAGATGATTGAATACCTAGTTAGTGAAATCTGATTTGTTTTTTTATCCCAAAATGTCATACTCAAACACAGAATATTCAATACAATTCCCGGTTACATAGACAAGAAGGGCAGTGCCTCGATAGTTTATCTTACACTTTATGCACATACTTGTTTACTATCATATCCTAGTAACTCATCTATAGACAGAATCCAATGAAAACGTATCTTAACATATGCATCACCGGAGAACATCCCAGATATGGACCTGATACAATAACAAGTATCTATATTGAATATTAGATATTGTTTCAGAGCTATGTTGTTAGCGGTCTTGTTTTTCATTTTTTTTTTTGTATAAATAATGAATTAATTTACAACATGATTTAAATACAACTGACATATTTGTTAATTACATGTACTATTTATTTAACCTAAAAAAATTCGTCTGCAAAATAAAATCTAAAATACACATGCTGTGTACATATTGCTAATCCAGTTGCTTGTTATATCATGAGATTAAAAAAGAATTTTATCAAACAATAATTACAAATCAGAGGAAGGTAGATAATACATAGAAAGACTATGAGTTAGATATGTTATTTTCTAGTTAGCTGGTTATGTACTTGGATGATGTTTTGATTGAAAACTTGTGTTAAAAATGGCAGGAAACTTTGTAGTAAACTGACGTATATATATATATACGCACGTCTAACTTTATTCACTTTGACTTCACATGATCAACGGAGTTACAGTCAGTATAGATAAGGACTAATCTGACCACCAATATGTAGAGTGTAAGTTAAGTAAAAGTATTAACTAGTGAACAAATGACGAAGCTAAAAGCCATTCATAGTTTCCTCTGTCTAAACTGAACCTTCCAAACTCAACAAAAAAGTCGAAATAAAATATTCAGACCAGATCATGTATTATGATTTACCGAATTGGATAAGTGATTTAAATCTCAGTTTTTAAGACTTTTATCTTCAATCATACAGTGAAACAATTCAGCTAATATGCAACAATTTCACTATCAACTTGATTAGCTGAACAAATCAGAAGTTATGGAAATTTATTTCATAGCCAATCCTCTGCAATCATATAATTTGAGACAATTTTAGTAATAATATATTGGATTGATGCAAAAAATACTTCAAATTCACAACTGTCTTTTAATTTAACATGCGCGAACAAATGATAATATGATAAGCGCTGTTGTTTTGTAATTCATAGTATAATTATTTTCAAATTATTTAACCATAATGTTTTTTTTATAATTTAGGAAAGTATGATGATTATGGGTACAGAAATTGAAGACTTTATGCATTCAGCTTATTTGACAACAGAACCTCAAAGAACCAAGCGAATAACTCGAAATACATTTGTTCATGAGGTAAATATATTATAAGAATATTTTATTTTATCCTAAATAAAAGATGAACAAACATTTATTCTGTTTGTTTGTTCTGAACTATTTAAGTTAATAGTGAACCCGCTATTAGTTATATAATAACAGCTTTGAAAAAATATTCCTGGTTTAGTTCATTATTGGCGTTTGAATTATCCCACTGCTGATATCTAGGATTGAAATATGATCATGTTTAGGTGAAATATTGGCACTCAGAGATAACAATCTCAATATGGATATTTTTGACACATACCATTGAATAAATGCATTCAGGCATGAATTAGATTCCGGTATGACAATATCGTCCCATTCGGAAGTTGTGTTCTGTATATATAGTTGCAATTCAGTCGTCCTTCGTACTCTGTGTTATTTCGCAGATAGAAATACGCTTTTGCTAGCACACTGTCACATCTTTAGCCACAAATACACTTGAAAAACTTCGTATCAATAATTTGGTTTAGTGAAAATTGATTATTGAGCAATTTCACACCACTGTAGACAATCAGTATTGAAGAGATACAGACTACACAATATATCCACTTTATAAAATGTCGGCTTGAAGTACAACTACAAATGAAACCATTCTTAATGTGAAATGAATGTTGAACATTTTAATACCTGGAATATAGCATAACTTGGATTGTGAGGATATAATTGTTTACTAAAAAAGATTTCAGTAATATAAAATTAAAGTACATTTTTCTTTTTACTTTTAACTGCGCTTTATAAATAGTAAGGCTATTTATTTTCGAACGATTCTATAGAAAAAGAAGCATTTTTTAATCTGAGTATAGATCAAAACACTTCGTATTTAAATATCGTTTAGTTAAATGTAACGAATAATTTTTATAAAAAGTACAATATCATTTCGTTTCTTTTTTGCACATTGAAACATTTAACCGAACATAATGATGTTTTGAAAATTCACTTCATTTTTCACCAAATTAATCAAATATACGGTCTATAACTTTAAAAAAAACACTTTTTGTTTAAACTAAACTGTTTTTCAGACGAAAAAATATGCTTGATATGTTCACCTAAGTCACAAACCAACTACCATACCGACAAAACAGTAGTGATTGAATATAATTACTACTAACTGGTTGAATTTATGAATAGGCACGAAAAATGTATAAATTTCAGCAACACTTATATTTTTAACTTAACTCATTTACTAGCACTTTTTAAGCTTTCTTTATTCTATAACTACAATATATTCCTTTTTCATTTAAAATAAACACCATATAAGTATAGAAAAAATGGAGAAACATTTTCCTGAAATAGGTACGTTTAGTTGTATTGTGTATTTTGAACTTGATAGTTTAATTTCAAAAGCATCTGTGAAGTACGCATTAAGACAGAGTGTAATCAAACTATAACACAATACTTGGTTATCCTTTATATACTTTACGGATTTGTAAACATTTCTATTAGCTATATAACTCTTGTACGTCTATCATTTTCCTAGTGGTTTCTGACACTACAATCACTGTTCAAAGGAAACAAACATTTTATTTCAACAGTCACGTAACATGATTCTCACGTTTGCTTTGGAACAAATAATTAAAACAGAAAACCATCGAGATTAATAAACACTGAATAGTAGTAAGCAAATGTGTCTGTCATGCAGTGAACTTCAATCTCATTCATACCACTGATAGTGTTTTTTAAAATTATTGGTAAAAATCACCAATCAGTGGTTTATCTTTGAAGCTGTGTTAAGTAGTACACTAAGCTGATCAACAATATGCGAAACATACATTCAGACATGCTTAAATCATATTGTGAATTATTTCAAAAGCAAATTATAAATTCTCAACATCATTATTGATACATTATATAATAAACAATTTTAGAAATTATTGTCTAGTCATTTATGTAAACATTAGCAATTAATAACAATAATAGTTCTATAACTAATGCATTAAATATTTATACAACAAAATGGTTGATTTGATAGATTACTTCCTGTCAAAAAAAAAACAAAACTGGCCAATACATGTCTAAATTATGGCTTATCAGAGGTAAATTGGTAATTAGGAAAAATGAATGTTCATAAATTCGTCCTGATATCATTAGTATGACAAAAATTGTATAGACAGTTCATGCAACTTAATATGAAGTATGTTATTAATTCAATTATCAATAAAGTAAATTTTTTGAAAAAAAATTTTTCCATTTTTACCATTAGTATTAATCTGATTCCTGTTTTACTCACAACAAACAATTTTGATAAACATTGCCGTACAATAAAACCAACTCTTCTGTTACATTCAAAAGTAAAAATGAAGTGAATACAATTTACCTGTTACTGAACATCAAGCTGTATCGTTACAAGTATAAATATACATTGTAGGATCCGAACTGAGGCTTGAATTAAGAATAACTCTGTCCAGGTAGTTTAGATACTCGTCTAGGCCAGTTGAAATCAAACCAAGTGATTGGGTAAATGACGGTTCTAATATTCATCATAAATATAAATATACATCATTACCTGAACAAATATTACCACTCAGTCATTCCACCAACAATTGTTCAATTAATCAAATCAACAGCAACGAATAAATGTTATTCTATCCCTCCTCGATAGATCAGATTCGTTTGACAAATAATATTTGGTTGCTTTATAACGCGGAATGCTTCTTATTCTGAGAGGGTGCTTCAATTCACAATCAAAATGCACAATTCCAGTCAAACCAAGCAACTGACACAATCAAAAGAGGAACAAATCAATATGGCTGTTGCCTTGACTAAATATCAGCTTAAACAACATAAATGCAGTTCAGAAAGAAACATTGGAACTCAGTAAAGGCAAAAGAAATAGAAACTATAGTAAAATGCAAATATCTCAAATGGAATCGAACAGATTAACAAAATGTACAACTGAAGAAACCAATAAGGACAAATTACATTGTATACATCGAGGGATTTTCACAAACAAAGCCTTCAAAAAATGGATCTTACACTAATTAAAGATCATATAAATCACTGATGTTAGTTGAAGTAACACTAAATTTTGAGAAATTAGAAGTAAATCATGATGATGAGATAATATTTATAAGAAAATCAAGCAAGTGTTGATACAGTTTATGAGAATGTTTTTCCAGAATGCACAAGGTTGGGACAGAACTTTCTAATAATAATCATGGATTAATTTGTCAGCTTTATGAGTAATGATAGAAGTGTGAATCACCACTCCATATTGATAATTACTACAGAAATGTAAAAGGTTATGGCATATTATAAAACTACAGTTATACATCCGAATTGACGGACAGAGAAAATAATGATTTGTGACCGAATAAATCAATCTCTCTGTGTATATTTCGTCACAAAAGACATATTGGTACAGCCTCTTAAATGACTTAGTTTGTCTTGCTATCTTACCCAAATGTACAATGCGGAAGAATTTACTGTTTGGCTTAGATGCTCATTCTCTTTATCTCCCTACGTTTGCACAAACAGTTAAAACCTTATAATTGCACATTAAAGTAACCGAACTTGGAAGCTTATGCTTTTTCGGCTTCGATAGGATACAACAGGTCTTGAAGTGACAAATATCACAGATGCAAAAAAATATTTGATTTATAATCTCTCATAGTTTCGTTGTCAGCAGTTCAATAAACACATTTTTTTCAGACATAATATAATTCAGTAGTTTCTTTCCCACTGAGTTTAAATGGTTTCTTTGAAGTTGTGTTTCATTGCAGCAACATTTGTAATTCTGTCGTTGACGACTGAGATTACATAAACCGTATGAAAAGGATTAATCTAACCGATTATGGAAAAAAGCCTGTAGAAAAGTGATAAATGAATTTTATTTATAAAATTCTATAAATACTTTTGAAAAACAAACTAGATTAGATTAAATTCTCTACACCATCGATGATTTGCAGGCCCATATGACTGAACACAAAAGTTGATTTTCAATAATCCTACTATATGTATTTTATTTCTAATATATTTCAAAACAATTTTTTCAACCTTAAGAACTGAAAAAAATTAAACAACGTATATTTTCTAATTTTGAAAATCTATTTTTTTTCTTCTAAAATATCCAAAAGAACATTTTACGTGGCATTAACCTTCCATAAGAAAATAACGCCTTGAATATTATTTGACTTTTCACAAAATCAATAATTGGAAGCAATGGTTTTTTGTACTATACATTTCATATGATTGATTGTGCAACAAATGTACAGTACAGAAACTGTCTCAGTGAAAAACCATTTCCTTCGTTCCGTTCAATAAATCTTCAATGTCTATCAAGTAAAATTGTCTCAGAACAGAGAAACTCTGCCGAAAATCAATTTCATGTATACTTCTCATCTATCATGGTATAGTTAGTGAATTATCATGTTACCAATGATTTGTAATTGTATTCTTGTTCTGACAGCAATGAAATAAACAAGAAAAAACTGAAGAAAAATTATCAATAAACTATGTTGTTTTTGTATTACTCTGATATTTTTTTGAATGATACATACAAATACTACTTATTACTGGACGATATCATAAATTACAATGAATCTTTGTGATATGAAGTTGTTTATTTCTAAAGTTTATAATTATCATATTAATGAATTTCGGTTATGATGACATTTTATGCAAGAAATGTTTTCTTCTTGTCATTAGGTTAAAAATTGTTTACTATACATATTATAGCAATGTTAATGTTAGAGCTTCAAATTTGAATATTTAAATAAATATCAATGAATTATTAAGAGAAGTTAGTAAAACTAACGAATTAACTCCATACAACAACATGATCAGAGAGAATATACCGAAAATAAAATTGATCAAACCATTTAATCCTCCTACCTAAACATCTAAAACATGCAAATAATTGAATAAATAAACTTATCTCTTTAATGGATTGTGGACACAGCTTCACTTTCTTGGGTTAAATCATAAGCTAACCTTAGGTAGTCAACTGTTGAAAATCAGGAAGTAGCGGATATTTGAGTAATTTTATCAAGCATATCCACAACTTCACCTGTGATCTAACTCTGAACATTCAGATTGAACGATGAATGTATCATCTTTCTAACTTTGAACCAGAATCATAAAATTTTAAGTACAAAGATATAATTCGTTCACAATATCATCTCACGATCGACCGTTGCATTCGACAGATACCTGTGTCACACCTTTAAATAGTTGAACTCAACTAAATAATAGCTGTTCACTAGAACTCTAAAGATTACCCCTCAAGTTAGTCATCAGGGATCTAATCTTGGTGTAAACCATAAATGCATTTAGTTTAACCTATTATCTCAATGGTATATTGATCATATCAAATAAAAAATAAAACAAAGACACATACTATACTATCCTACAAGCAGATAAAATAAAGTCTGATTAATTGAGTGTAATAAATAAACTAGACTATTAGTTTATCTTAATTTATATTTATTGAGATGTAAGTTTCGTTCAAATCAATTTAGTTACATCAGAGATTTTCATGTTATCTATTCATACTGAATTGTATAAATTCTACTTGTTTTTATTTGACTAAAGTTTTTCTGATGAAACCATATGGTCTGTACATGTAAAATATTATTTACTTTGTGATTAATTATTATTATTACTAACATAATGTTTTATCTTTTTTTGTACATAAAAAATACGCTTAAATAATTTTTAAGTAACATAAAAAATTATAAAATTATAATCAATAAAGATTTATTAGCAATAAAGGTTTGATTCACAAGACATAAATCGTAAATTAAATCAATTTTTTGAAATCAACTTCTTTTTTGTTACAATAATTTTATCAAGAATAAAAAAGTTTTATTATTCTATCATTGTAACGTTACATTCTGAAATTGTTTACTCATCTTTACAATAATTTTTGCCAGTCTGTTAACATGTCTGAGAATAACTCTTTTTATAACTTCACAAAAAAAATTCTTCTCATTTTGGATACTGGCTCACTGTGTTAGAGGTTGGGCGGGACCGAAGGTCCCGGTTCGATTTCAACAAGTTGTGAGTGTAGTAGACGCCCACTGCTGATGAGCCAAAGTACGTTTCCTCAACCTCAGCTGAAATCAGATCCTGATATCGTTGAACTCGACCAACAAAGACTTCTGACTAGAACTCTGAGCACTAATTATCAGGGTTACTCTCAAGAGAGTGCCAGTGAAGATCAATCCTCTGTGAAAACTAAGAAACTAAATAATATCCACAAAATCGCTAAGACGATAACGTTTAGTACGTTGATTTCGTTGATACACTTTTGATTACATGTCTTTTAATAACTGGAAATCTCTTTGATATTTATTATTCACACTGTTGCTACTGATTTTTTTAATGTTAGACTATAATACTATAGTTCTCAAGTGAAACTATGAATAAAATGTGCATTAGATCAAAAAAAAAACCAGTAAATAGCACAAAAACGGAGGAAAACTGTGTAATAGAATTACAAAAATAAATATTGGAAAAAACAACAATACTGTATTATCAACATTGTGGTGAAAAGTTGTTTGTTTTATTGAATTATTAAATTCAATGAACAACTAATTGAACATTGAATTCGTTTGTTGCAATTTCTTTGGTAATTTTTTCATAGATTCTATCTAATGAAACAGTTGGTTTACAAGTTTCAATGGATGTACTACAAGTAAGTAAACTAAAAAAATTGTTTTATACTTTTGTATTAATGCCGATGACTCTCTGTTTTATTTTTTTTGTTTCCTCTTCATCAACCCACATACATAATAGTCTTTCACCAATTTGTTTTTGCTAAATAAGTTTATTTCAAAGTTGATTTTCGTAATGGACAAGTATTAGCTAAGGGAAATATTAGGAAATAGAGTAAACGTTATTTTTCTTGATTTCACAAGAGACTTTCTGATCATATAAAATTAAAAATCTACACAATTTTGAAGAACCGTTTGTTATTCAGTATCTAATGGTTAACTTGATTTTATAGCTCCACTAAACACGTTCTCAACAGTTTCCAATTATTTGGAGTAGGTATTTAGAAACATAGTGTGTTGTAAATTAATATTCTTTGGACTATACCCATTTAGATTACTAAATTTTTACTAACCAAACTTGATATCTAGGAAATACTGTAGGTGGCGACAAAGCATATCTTGTAACTGCTCACTTATATTCGTGTTCGAATAGGTAGAGAGGACTTCTCGTTTGTGGAATGTCGTGTTTTCCTCAGTCAGTGCAATGTTATGGAACTAATCTTACATTTTTGTGCTCAATCAGTATAAAATCAAATGGTTGTATCGTCTTATTATCAACACTAATTAGGTCATGGTATTCTTGTCCACTAAGACAATTAACAATCCTCAATTAAACCATCCATTTTGAAGTATATAACTTTTTTTCAAAGTCGAAGGTTTAACAATTAAAAATATTAATCACCCTAATCTTTGATGTTACATAGGGATATTTCCTAGAAAGTTTAAACAATCACTGGAGTAGTTTGTTTTTACCGAAAGCATTTATTTGCTGAAAATTAATTATTGGCAAACAAAATTTCCAATTTGTGCAACTGTTATCATTCGTGATTTCAAAGTAACTCAACACTCTCCACAACCCTATAATAAAACTAATCATGTGCTCACTAATGACTAACTCAGTGAGCGATTTTCTCTGAGTTCTAATGAGAAATAGTGACTCGTGATTTTCAACCCTGTCCGGGTGTGAACTAGTACTCACCGAAGACAGTAGATGAGGTTACGCAAGACCATCGATAGATCGAAATTAACCAGTAATACCAATGAATGCCGGCTCAAGATTAAGAGTCCGAGCGCAAGACAGAAAGTCTTGAGTTCTGTTCTCGCAAGGAGTGGGATTCATTGATGCCCACTGCCGTTGAGTCCGATCCTTGAAAGAAACGGCCGTCCGATGCTTCCAGGTTTCTAATGTTGGTCTAACAATGACTGACTCATGATTTCAACAATCTCAACAATCCTATGGTAAATATGAGTCACAAATTATTCAGAACCGTATGTTTCATTTTGAAAACCTTGGATGGGGGGAACTAGAAAATTTTGTTTTTGGTAGTCTGAAGCAACATTATTCAGAATGACAACAGAAATTTGCATTATGGATTTCGAAAAGATTCAGCTAAAATAAAACCGAAACTAAAGATCTTACCAGATTAAAGTTATATCAGTCGCTAAAACGTTAAAAGTCTAATTGAAAACTGGACGACAGATTTTAACACTGTAATCTAGAAAAAACCTTGATTATCTCCACACGTAAACAAAACCTATTCCATATGTGATTTATCTATACAACTAAACTTAAAATGGTATTTAACTGTGTTCATTTAAACTAATTTTTCCATTTTTTTTTTTCAAATGGAAAATGTCAGAAATGTAATATTATACTTTTTGGAATATTACAAGTATTTTATTTTTTTTTCTCACTATATATTTAAACAAATATTTCTCCAAACAAGTACCAGCCTTAATTAACGTCTCCTTTTGCTTTTCTCCAAATTCTTTCGAAAAAATATCTACAGTCATTACAATTGCATAACTTTTCATTGAAAGAACGTATACGTATATTGGAACAATTATTATTACTATCTGTAATTGTTGGACGTTGGTTAATGCCTAGAGAAGGATTAACACGTGATCAACTATCACAATTACTATTAATTAACATTGGTACAGCAGCAGATATATTAGAATTATTTGAAGCATTCAATGAACAAGAAGTGCGTAGAAATGATTTTTTACGCACTGTTATCTTATCATTATGGCAAGCTAGTTTATTACAATTTTGTTTTAATAAAACAGCACTGAAAACACAAAATAATTACAATAATCGAAATTTACTATACTCTAAATCCAATGAATTGTCTACTTTTCAATGTTCAAGCGATGAAAAGTCGTTAAGTGATGGTGAAAGTCGATTTACTGTCAATGTTAACAACAATAATACCAATAGTAATATTAGTGATAATGGTACATTAAATTCAAAAAATAAATCTCAACGAAGAAGTACACTGGCCACTTTGAAACAATGGTATTTAACACGTACAAAACAAAAACAAGACGAAGATAATCTAGAAGATAAAAATTGCAGTAATGTCAGTGCTGAAAATGGTTCACAATTGAAGCCACCGGAATCAGAAGTACAACAACAACAGCCACAACAACGGCAGTCATGTCAATTGCTCTCACCACCGCTACCATTATCCTCATCAACATCATCGAACATTGGTAATATACCAAAATCAGTATCACAAAATGATTTTACAAGCAATTCAAATGATGTCAGTTGTGCATTAATTGGCGGTTGTCTTTTGTTATGTCGTGAACGACCATGTTTATGCTGTGAAACTGAATTATGGGCAATTGGTATATCATTAATGCTGCAAGATTTACCATTTCTTATATTAAGAATAACTTTAATAGTATATTATAATGTGAAAAGTTATTCAAATGTATTTTTCACTTGTAAAAATACTTTATTAATTTTATTACAAGTTTTTCGTTCCATTGTTATATTATCTGAAGCTGGTAAATTTTAGTTAATTTTAATAATAAAGGATTATCAATTAAACAAATACAATGATTGTATGAAATATGTTTATTATATTTTTGTTTTGTTTAAATAGGCATAAATAACTGACTAAACAAGGTCATGTGCATTAATTATATGATTTAAAGACTAGCTTGCTTTGGTTTTTTTTCAGTAAAACAATGAAAATAAATTTTTCAGTCTTTAACCATTATTCAATTGAAACAATATGTCAAATAAAGATTTGCCTAAGTTGTTTGTTTTTTTGTTTTAAATTTCTTGGTACCACTCATTCTTTTTAATTTAAGTTATTTTTAAAGAAAGTAAAATGAATGTCACTTTACGTAAGCACAATCACCAAAGAATTATTTAGTACCGATATGAAATACGTTAGGAGCAAATTGATTGCGACACCCAAAAAGTGTAGTTTTCATTTATTTTGAAAATCTAATCAGCTGACTGTGTTATGATTTCATCTGAAAAAGGTATTTAGAACATAATCACTGTGTCAGAATTAATTATATTTCAAACAAATTACAAGTTAACTCCTGTCAAATTTAAAAATTGGACTTTTTTGTTCTGAATTGCTTGACATACTTACTAACCGTTTTATCACTGAAGAAATGAAGCTAATAATAAATAAATAGGGATTCAGGTTTTAGTTTACTTTCAATCATCCCTCTTTTACAACAGAATTGACCTTACAGTCTTTCAGTGTCGTTTCAATAAGAAGTACATAATGTAGAATACTGGAATACCAACGAGTAGAACTGTTATTCGATACAAATCAAGTTTCGATATTCATCTAAATATTAAAAAACTGCTCATAGTTTGAACTGATTAAACTTTCTATTCTAATTTTTAAATCCATCTTTTCATCTATGTAATCATCTCATTGCTCAAAAATCGATTCTTGAATTTTGTTTCATGCTCAATACTCATTCGATTTGATGAAAACATTTATCTTTGTACTTGTACTGTATGATAAATTCATGTTAAATAGTTTTGCGAACAAAACTGTGGATAATAAGCAGAACTGATGATTCGATGGAGTGTGTAACGTACATTTTTCTTCATTGACCTATTCTAATTCAAATGATTGCGAATTAAGAATTTCTAAATTTTATTTGTATGTACTATTTGAACTAAATTATTTCCTCTTTAGATTCTGTTTAATTTTTAAAAAATTTCATCAATTCCAAATAGTGACAACAGTTTTATGGGAATTAATTTAGCCTTGTAGTTTTCTTGTGAGAATAGGTGGAAAAAAAACGATGTTCTTCGAATTTCCTTCATATGTTGACGACGTTGTTAGCTCATATGCGAATACTTACACTGTGTGCTCCTTTAATGATTCTTATGAATTTGTTATCATTATGCACTGACGAATATCAGTTCACATTTGAAGGTGACCACTTCCGCCAGATCGATGGTCTGGCTATGGGTAAACCGTTAGAGCCATTATCAGGCGATACATTTAAGACACATAGTGAGAATTTAACTGAAGACCTAGTTGTAAATATATGCCGCTGGAAGAAATATGTGTGTCGACAACATCTTAGTTAATTATGATAATTATGCATCATTTGATGAATAAGCTTGACGAATCAAAACCACATCGGTCTTTGGTGCGAATAAGAGAAGAGCAATCAGATTCTTTTTTATCCATTTGTCGAAAGTCGACTTGGATAGGCCAGCACACTAGCTATCACGCAGTTATTACCCAGTGCAATACAAACAGAGTTTGATAAAGATGCTATTTAGCAGGATTGGTTGTAGTTGTTCAAGTGATGACATTGAAAACGAAGTAAGGTTGTTAAACAAAACGTTCACTGAGAATGGCTACCCTTTCAAATTCATAAATCGATAGAAAGGTCACACTGTAGACCAACCACATCTTCGGCGCAGGAAAAGCCTGTTCACATTAACCTACCTTTGAGGGTTAGGTCAAATAGCCTCATAATGAAACAAAGATTAAAATCTGTTATCAATATGAGGTACTACTCACCAAATGTTATTATCGTAGAAAAAACAAACTCGAACTTTGTGGTGTTGCGTAAAAGTTTTCAAGGGCGTACACTAAAGTTTGTTGAAATCTTGGCCATAGGAAGGTTTATTATCACCTACCATGGTACTGCTGTTTGATTATCCCAATTGGTGGGTTACACACTGCTTTCACTGTATTTTCTCTTATTATCTTTGTTACCTCCTACACTCCATTTATCTAGTTGACGTTTTATTTTTCCTATATAAATGTTCTCAACAAGTATGTGTGTGGTCAGATTGTTCGAAATGTATTACGCTAATATATTACATGGTTCTGATAATCTTTATCTTCTCATTACACTATCCAAATTTATCCAAGAGGTTTTCTGCTTTTGATTTAAGCAGTTACATCATATAAACAAAAATGCTCCATTTTCAGTGATAAACTCACCGATTTCATTTCATATCAAGGAGAATTACCACAAAACAGGGCTAAGTGGGAAACAGTAACCCACCAATAAAATTTAGTGACAGCTGGTTGAATTAGGTTAAATGACTAGATTTCTACTCATTGATAGGATTTCCTGTGTGTACATAAGTACATATGAAATCCTTCAAAAAACTGAATAACCAGAAATAAGTAATATAACACTGAATTCTTTAAAAGTAAAAGTAAGTGGGAGAACTTCTGCTTAATGTTTGTCAGAGTTGGTTTCTATCGAGTTGAGGATGTTTGGCGACCCAGTGTTCATTATTGTCTCGGAAGGGTTGCTAACACATAGCGGCAAAACAGATTAGTAATGCTGAAATTTACCCATTAGTGTTCGAGTACACTGAAGATAAATTATTTGGTTTCAGCGTCTTTAAACAGCCGACTAAATTACTTGAATGTATCTTTACACATACTAAACCAGAAACTTACCCACTGTACATCGTTTTATGACTTCAGATTTAGTTGGTAAAAAAGGATTGTTAGTCACTTCGTGACATAGCTTTAACTTGAGGTCCAATGGATAATGCAGTCCAGTGGGTTGGGATATTGTCAGACATGGCTCAAAATAGAAGCTCAAGGTGATTATGTTGTAATCTTTCACTTTTATATCAAAATGGAAGTAATTTCTTTAAGTGAAAGGGCTCTGTCTGGTTGAATCCTTCTAACTGAACTGTTTCTCTCAATTTTACTCGTTTAATTATATTTTTCTAATCATATTCATACGCTTGCATTTATTTCATTGAGATTTAATTCACTCGTTCGTATGGCGCATAATCATTTTGCCGTTTATATGTACAAAATATAAATATTTTCATGGTAAATCTTGTCAATAAGATAATTAATTATAAATCACATGAAATAAAAGATTACAGAGACAATTTGAGCAATTATCTCTATTATTTTAATTCATATCTTTATATATATATATATATATATTCCTGTTTGCTTGTCTGCAAACAATCTGACCTAAAACTATAATCATCAAGTTGTATTGAACTGTAATAAATTGAAAAGTAAGCACATCACTAATAATATGATTTTAATGTGTAATTTTATAATGTAAGTTAACATTCCGTTGTTGTTAAACTGTGTTCTGAAAATATACTTCATTGTGATTGTTCATTTAAAAAGAAATACTATGTCCAGAATGCTAAATATGTTAACTGTCTTTCCAAAATTTTGCGGTATAAACAGAAATATAAACATTTTGTTTTAATTTATTTTTAGTCTTTATTGTTTTCAAGGAAAGTTTTGCTACAAACAATGATCAGAAGTTTTTATTTCTTAATTACTGAAAAACCTAATGTATATATATGAATATATATATATATATATATATATATATATATATATATATTTCAATAACTGTCAAACATTTGGGAACTTTTTCCAGAACATGCTTCATTCATATTTTTGTGACATCGAACTTTTCTGAAGTATTCAAAATTTTAGGGTACAATTTGCCTCATGAAACTTAAATAGGACATACATATGTTTAAGCAAAAAATGAGCAAATATCTGCAGTAAATCATAATTTCAGTGTGACTAATTTGGTTGTAAATATATATTAATTGTTAAATATCACTTTGCCAATATATTTGCGAAACATTCGTTCAAAAAAGAGAATTTTTCATGTAAGATAACAAATAAATCGGTCAGCCCAGACAGAAAACCGTTCAGTACTTGATCTAACTAAAATGAAACCGAACGCCTAAATTTTAACTCAATCATTAAATATTCCAATCGAATATTATAAAAAGGGTCTTAGTTAAATTGTTAATTTATGAATATGATAAGCTTTCCTATGATTTATATTTAAATCTGTGCACTTTATTCTCAATTCAGCTTGTTTTAACCCGATAGAAAAATGTATTCAAACGTATGTATTATACTTGTTTGCTTGTAGCGGAGTAGTATTTACTCAACGAAAATTTGTTGCTGAGAATGTATTTAAAATTTTACAAATAAAATAAATTTATTTGTGGAAAAATAACTTTCAAAGCACTAGTGTAAACCTTTTGACTAATATTTTTTTAGTATTATCTAAGCCTACATTCAAACAAATGGTGTAATATCTACTGACGCAGGAAAAGATATAAACCTTAGTAAATCTAGTGTGCCTTAGAGTCTTAACAGTGATAATGAGATTCAAGTATTTTTATTTAATTACTAAATGTTTTTACAGAGATTAGATATCAATCAGTTAACCGATTCCAAACAACTTTTATTTTAAATCTATACACAGTTGATAGGGACTAGTATCGGTTATCTGGACGAACAGTATACCGAGTTTAGGCATAATATCAATAAAGATTGTGACAAATGAAAATCAAATATCTTATGTTTCCAGACTGTAGGTTTTGAAATAATGGAAGCTTTTCAAGTTGAATATTCAAACCAAACAGCGAATATTAACAAAATGTTTAATGACTTATCGATTATTGGAGTTCAGATATATGTCAGTCAGTTACGACGTAGAAGTTCGTACATGAGTACATAAGTTGAGGTTGCCATACAGTATCATAACTAGTGGTGCAGGGTGATAAAGGAATGTGAGGAATTATTCGTGAAGGTAAGGGGATATTGATAGGAGTAGGAAGGATTCGATTGCGACCAAGT